AATGCTCAATACCAGTTCAGTGAGAAAGTGCATTATTAAAAGTACTCTGACCTCTCCAATACATGGAAGAGTGTATTACTTTTACTTACTGCCCTTTGCAGTTATGCATAGCCAGATTTGTAGTTTTCTTTCATTTCTAAATTTGTTTTTCCACCAGTGGTATGAGAAATAGACAACGATTACTTTTCCTTCACGGAATTTGCCTTCACGTCTTTTAAATGACAACGATTACTTTTCCTTCACGGAAAAGTAAAATTCCTTGAACGGAATTTGCCTTCACGTCTTTTAAATGTCTTCATCTGAGGTTGTCCTTTTACCTACAAAGAAATGCTTCTAATTAGTTACCGCTATTTTTAAATCACCACAGGTTGGCATTTCAGTTCAAACCTCTCTACAAGAGAAGCCTTTTTTTAAACCTTAGTCACACAATAAATTCAACAGATTCATTTCTCCGTCCATCTTTGACCTTGGTTTGTCTTCACCCAGGCAAGTATGTTAACGTTAATGATGGGGGTCAACAAAGGTGACACGGGACAGAGTGGTCAATGACAATGTAAGTACTGCAGGGGGTGCTGTACTGTCATGTATAAGGAGTTGTATTGCCTACTTCCTTTCAGTTACAAAAGTCTCTCTTTTTAGCTGCTTTTGACTTTGTAAATAAAAATGGAGAGCAAAAAAAAAAAAAAACCATCAGGTCCACCTTATTTGCTGGAATTCAGCTATACGTCCTCTGGTCTCAAATATTTGCACAAGCAAGCCTGTGTCTGCAATCATCCCTTTTGTGTTGATCAAACAATGTGTGCCCACTCTAGTGGAACGATCTGCACCACTAGTGAACAAGCACCAGCCACTATTCCCGCAACCCTCTATTTGACTATTGAGGTCAGCCATTCACACGACCCGCCAGTTCTGCCCCCGCAGCAAATGGAACCTGACATCAGTAATTAGTGCAGCTCACGCTCCGCGCAGGTGGAGGTGCAAACCGCTGTCCGTGCGGTAAAATGGCTCTAAGTTGTTCTGGCGCTTTAAAACAAACACAAGAATGGAATTCCATTCGCTTTTTACACCAAGACTGGATTAGACACATTAATATAATTTCAATATGTTTAAAATAAATCAATCATCTTCTCCAGTATCTCTGATGATCGTGCCAATACATTTTGGCTCCACCTTTACACTGTCACTGTTGATGCAGTTTTTGTTCCGTTCGCAATCTGCAACTTCATAATGATGTTTATACCAGAGGCATTAACACAACATTGCACTTGACCTTTTCCACTTTGGCCAGGACTGGATTTGACAACTTCCTCTTCCAAACACGTCATGTTATCCCTACTGTCTTTTTCTGTGTTTGTTAATTTACGCGTCAGTGTTCGCTACTTAAAAATACACAAACGTACAATTTGCCGTTGGGATGCTGTGAGTTCTGCAAAATGACAAGAACGTTGTGATGTACTTATTGTGCCTCCAATTATTTAAGGAAACGTTTAGGATTTTCCACTGGAGCTACTGTAGCTAATTATCACATTACACTGCCAATTATCCACTCACCTGGAAAGTGAATTGCTTGGGGTTTTCCCAACTGGTCCAGATCCAATTAATTATTCTTTGGCATACACACACATCCTTCCTTTTTTTGTTTATAGTGGGAAAGAATGAGGCAGCAAAAAGATTTTTTTTGAATGACCGGGGGGATGTTGTTCTGCTGAAATCATGAGTTAGATAAGGCACAGGGTGAAAGCAATTCTATGAAAGTAATTTATAGAAAACATATGGTTCATCTACAGAGGAGATACTCAGACTGTGCTTCAGTACTGTGTTAGGGAGTTTTCTAGAAGTACATCCATATGGCATGATGTGTAGCTACCCTTTCTTCCCTCTAGGTTGTGCTACGAACACAGCTGTACTGACCAGGACCATGAGCTGAGCAGAGCTCCAAAAAAACAACAGAAATGTTTAATAAAAATGTATTTTCTCCAGACTGTTCAACTCGTTCAGTTTGAAAGAGTATGCATCTGACAGTGTAGTACTTTTTCCAGGAAGGACCTGAAGCATCCTTAGTAATTATCTTGAATTTACCACTTCACTCAACATCTCTTTCTCATCGTTGGATCCTTTATCCCCGATGTGTGGGCATTTGCATTTGCTCACGAGGGCTGTTGTAGACACATGTAGGTACAAGATAACAGATAACAGCGTCCCTGCATCAAGCCCTGTGCACCGCATATTCCACGGCTACCAAGACAATAAATTGATTATACACTTGAAAAAATATACAGTTCTCATCTGCTCCAAATGCGTCATGCTGGACCTTAAGTCAATTTCCACAGCACATCACTGCACATTTCATTATTAAGTAAGGAGGAGTTGGGGGGGGGGGTTCATGGAAGAAGACGTAAGTACTCTGGAGTACTTGAAGTATTTATTAAAAATGCACGCCCGTATGTGATGCACAACAAATGCTGTCCTGGAGGCGGTTTTTGCATTTCCCAGCTGTAAGAACTGCTGATGTAGACAATTCCACGCCTGCAGCCCTTGATTCTGCAGCCATGAGCAGCCAATCTGTGCTGGGAAAGTCGACACGTACGAAAAAACATATACAGAAAAACAACTGACAGCAGTATTGTGTCTGAATCCCCTAACACTCTTACATCTTTAGCTTTAGCTTTAACTAGCAACCACATAGCACATTTGCTTCCATTCAGGTGACAGACTCCAAAGACATGACTAAAAAAAAAAAAAAAACATGACCCACCCACTGATGTCAAGAGCAGCACCACCTTTACACAGTCTTGACGCAGTTCCTAAATTCTCCAGTGTGTGTGTTCCGGTTCTTTCACTGAGAACGTGTCGTGCTTCAGCAGGGCGTACGGTCCAGAACGACTTCAAATACAACAGCTGTTGAAATTTGTCAAGACACATTTAATTAGTGGACACTTCTGCAGAAGGTTCTTGTTATCAGTTCAAACATTTAAAACATTCAGCAGTTGTAAATTGTGAGTAAGAATGACAGCGGCAGAACGTTGACCTAGAACCTATTATCACACACACCAGCATCAACTGGAGCATTAACTGAATGATTTTATTTCTTCTTTTTTGTGGGGAACTTAAAAAAAAGTATAAACGAAAATGAATTGAAAACTGTAACAAAAAAAAGTAAAAACGAAAATGAATTGAAAACTGTAACACCAGCCAGAGAAGAATTCTTTGGTCCATCAGAATACCAGAAACAAACGCCTACTAATTACTCACACACTGATTCAGAGCCTTGGTCATTTTAGAGTCTTCAGCATCATGTTATTAGGCTGGGGGGTTAGGAGGTCTTGGGGGTCAGCTCTCACAGAAACAGAGGGAACATGCCAGAGCCAATAAGGATCCACTCATTATAAGGCAACTTCGCAAACAACAAACTCACCATGCAGTCTGAATCACATGCCTAATGTCCATGCATACTTGACATTAAAGAGTTAACAGAATCAACCCGTTTGGATTTTTTTGTTCCTTACCCAATGAGTCGATAAAAGAATCGATAAGGAGTAAATGATGTCGATAACCAAATGAATTTCTTTTTTTCAAATAAATATCAACTCCCATCCCTGGTGTTTGGCTTTTGTAAATAAATAAATTACTATTTCAGTCCAAAAGCATTGCATCCGCTGCCGAAGTCCATTCCATTCCAAAAGCATTGCATCCGCTGCCGAAGCTTTTTTTTTTTTTTTTTTAACATTAAGGCGTGACCTTTTTACGTTCCTGAACGAAAATAAAAATGAACACCATACATCTTCTACTGCATAGTTCTGTTTTGCTGCGTATGGTATTTTATTCTTAACCAAAGCTATGCATATATTTTTTTCTAATAAACATATTTCTAGCCTCTCCCAGCAGTGACACACACATTAGTATTTTACTTATTTCACATATTCAGACTAATGGATCAATTGGCCTCCTGACAGATTACCTTACAACGGCCGGTGTATGAATCTGTAATATAAAAAATAACTTGAGGTCCACACCAGGCTGTGCTGCAGCCCCATTAACTCGTGGCTGACTTTCTGATGTGTTTCACAGTAAATCTCACTTAAATATGATGAAGACTCAGAGACAACTGGTGTTTCAAATTGTGTTTGGCTATTAATAAGTAAACATTAATAGGAAAAATGTTACAAAAAGCAAGATATCGTATGTAGGTGTATACAGTACTGGAGGTACATTTCATGTACTGCATAAAGTATAACTGTTGTTGTGGTATATTTCTAAGTATAGGTTTGTACTTACAAAACATTTTTAAAGATTAGAGTATATTATGACATTTATCATTAATCTTTAAAAAAGCTTAATTTAATTTTATCAGGTAGATTTTAAATTAAAAAAATTAAATAAAGAAAGAAAATGAAAATATTTAAATTTGAACACTGTAAAGACTGACACCCCCCCGCAGAAAACTCAGATGTTTATTAAAAATTATAACAAAATGTATTGATTATGTTGATAAGCTCTAGGTTTCAGAATCTTGTTAAGCTAATATGATACAAACGGTGTTTAAAGCGTTTATTAACCTTTATTTAACATGAAAGTTTTTTTTTTGTCCTCATCGTGTTACAGAAATTACAAAAATAAACAACATGCTGTTCAAATTTATGTTTTTTGCAAGAAAACCTGCATAGGTAACCATGTAGGTAACACTGAGCCTAATCTATTTTCATAATAATGCAAAGTAAACCAGCCTCAGAATTAGTTTTCAGTTCAATATTTGGCCGACTACAGCTCCAGTGTCCATATACTGCCTCATAATTATTCAGTAACCTGCCTCCATGCACGGGAGTATGTATGCAATTTACAGAATGTGTGATGGTATCAGGTCATTTTGCTACAAGTTATACATTTAAAGCATTCCTCGCCTGTGTTCAGGCTTGTTTGTTATTCAAGGCAGATCTCCAGGCTATTTTGGAACATGCAATTGGCTTTGACAACTGAGCGTACATGTTTGTGTGGATGTTTGTCGACCGTGGGCGCAGTGTTTAGTGGGATGTTTTTGTTTGAGCACTTCTGCGAACCTCACATTATTGGTGAAAAATGAGAAATATTTGTTCTGGGATGATTGCAGCAATAACGCACGGTGGAAAATTGGTAGCTGTGCATTAGAGCAGAAGCAACCGCTGCTGCATAATGAGATGGAAATTGCATTCTCAATGAGACTTGCATTCATTTGGCAGAATCCAACACATCCAAAGTTAATAGTAACAAATAGCAAACAAATCTCTGTGCGTCATAACTGTGCTGACCACCGTCTGACCAGAGCCTCTGACCTAGGGATGAGAATCCAGCACAGTGTGTGTTCTGTCTGAGGATATGAGGATAACCCCTCTCCCCACTGCCTTGCTCAGTGACCCCTTGCACACAAGTTCTTTTTTCTGTACACAGAAAACACACACCGGAGGGGAACGTTGCAATTTTGCCAGAGTATTTATTCAAAGTGATCTCTGGGGTTTCACACCAACTGTCGTTAGGACAACTTTCACACATCTTCATCTGTTGTGTCTGTGGGTGAGTTGATAAACAGGTTTCAAATAATAATGGTGGTTTTTCGACCACCTTCTTTTTCCACTTCGGACCTTAGTGGTCATCGATTTTATCTTCCATGTTTACTTCAGTGTGATTACTACAGATTTGTTGTTTTCTTCATACAGATATTCATCATGGTGGCACTGCGTGTCTCGTCACTGCTGGTCTTACTGGTCATATTATGTCCACTCTACCATGGCTATCCATCGGTATAACTATGTGGTGGCGACCTCATAGATGCCCTGCAATTTGTTTGTGAAGAAAAAGGCTTCCATTTTCCAAGATTATCAAGTAATTAAGGCAGATACAAAAGTCTCAGTTCGATGCTGCTCTGTTCTGTTTTAATGCTTATCTCAAACAGGTCATTGACTGCATCTGTCCCAACAGGTCCAGTTCGCCCACAGTCGAGCCAACCAGTACAAGCGGGCACTGAGGAGAACAATGCCACTGCTCCTGCATCTAAGACTGAAATAAGGTCAAACCGTCGTGCATCTCCTGAGCCATGGGGCTGTTTTAAAACCCGCACCTTGAATGACCTTTTGCAATTTTGCAACCAAGACTGACCAAAACCATCAACAAAGTTGTTCCACTGGATGTAAAATGAGTTCTAGAGAAAACACTAAACATTCTACATGTGCTTCAAAATGAGGTAGGATTATATTAGTAATGTTTAAAGCATAAATAAAATAAATCTGTTATTAATTCATTTATTCAAACCATATGTTTTTAACTGCCTGTTCGTATGATTTATTTTGTTTCATTACTGTCACCCAATGGTAATTTGAATAACTCGGTTTTAGCTATAGTACCATGTCTCCTAGTGCCATGTAATGAACTCATCAATATCAGTGTTTGTTACTCTCAACAAGGTTTTGTGATTTTTTTATTTAGCCTTTTTTAAAACTCAAATAAAGTCTGTC